AGGGACATTTTTTTTTAGTTTTTTTCTAAAAATATCAATTTATTTTTATTTTTTTTTTACATAAGCTTGAAAATTTAATACAATGCTTCTAGCATATTGTTACAATGGCATTTGAAAAATATTAAAAATCCTTAGTCACAGATTTTTTTTATAAGCATTTAAAGTTCAAATGTTGACAGAATATGGAGAAATCACGAAAATTAGCAAATTATTTTGAGTTAAGAATTCGTAAAAATTTTTCTTTTTAAATCTAATATTCTAAATTGTAATACAATATTAATTAAATGATTATATACCTTTATCAGAAAAAAAATGTCTATAAGAAAGTCAAATTAAATTTTTATGAGCGTTTGAAATTCAAATTTCTACAACATTGGATATTCACTTGATTTCTCATGTAGCGAATTTCTTATTTTGTTGTAATTCAAAAACGAACAACTGTAGATACGTGAAAATTTCACTGTATGTTTATTTTATAAATTCTTATATACTTGACAACATTTTCAAAATATTTTTACTTGTTTTGAGCGGTTTACGGATAATTTCATATTTCAATTTATTTCTTTTTTTCACTAAGAATATCAATAAAGTTTTATCTGTTTTGCCAAAAAGTGTAAACATTTAATAAAATGCTTCTGATATATTGTTACAATATCAGTTAAAAAATATTAAAAATACATTGGCACAATTTTTTTTTATAGGCATTTAAAGATCGAATTTTAACAAAATTTATCAAATTTAAAATTAAATAATTATTTTGTAGTTAAAAATGTATAAAATGTTCAACTTTTATATCTAAGGATTGAAAATTTAAAACAAGATTCCACGTAAGTAGTTAATTCTGTTACCAAAAAATCTAAAAAATACACAAGCACAGCTTATTTTTATTGTCATTTTAAGTTCAAATTTCTACGAAATTACATAATAAAAAACCTAGAATAACTATTTTAGTTATTTTGTTGTGATTGTGTAGCGAGCTGTGACTATCTTACGACATGGCTTGTCTAAAAAACATTATAATATGTACGTAATCATATTTATATAAGAAAATATAAATATAATACTCGAGCGCTTGCTCGCGTACACATTAATAATAATAATATCGATGGTACCTCGTGTAGTATAATATCGAGTGCGTGACCATGAGCGGCGTGCGGCAATAGATATATGACTACGTATGTGAATTATTCTAAAAATAATATAAAGTAGATTTGTGCTGTTATATTAAATAACACCACAAATGTACAATAACAACAGATATATGTAGACTTCCGGCATGTGCAAGCGTGTGAATCACGTTAGGCCTAACCGCAGGATGACCATGTATGGTCTTGTGAACTAATGGAAGGGACTGGGACAGAGATCCATCGATTAGAGCTGATGGACAAGCGTTCATCAGACGAGCACCCAGCCTCAACTCGAGCAGACACCAATATTGTACATAGTCACATCTCGCTAATTCACAGTTTAAACATAATTATTTGGACTTAGAATATTTTCATTATAACTATTTTGCACATAATAAATACAAATTGGTATCGTCATCGAGGTGTTATTCAATTTACTTCCGTCTATACGAGTATCGTTGTAGTTGGCACGTTGCAATTGTATAATATTATTCACGGGTAGGTACTAGAAACTTCTAAAGTACACTATTATATATCTATGATAGTATCAGGGTTTGTTGTTGATGTATAAGTACCTAATTAATATTGTGATATGATTAATTTGGAATTTATTATAGGTACCTATTATAGGTTAATTTTTTTTTTAATACCATAGATAAGTATATTATATGTCTTATACTGACATACCGTCTCTGCTCAGAATCGTTTTTCTTATATAATGGTATTATATCATTGAATTCAAATTTAATACCATCCATTATACAGTGACCCACTTGTAACCTACTGTACAGCAGAGCACCTTTTCATATTTATATATAAAAAAGTTTTTTATTTTGTCGGTGAAAATAATATTGTCTTATAACACTGAGGCCCGCGGCCTTATCGTGTTGTTTAGTATAGGCAGTTTCGCTTAAACTAAATATGATAAGCGTTGATAACAAATGTTAAGGTCCACGGACTAGAACAGGCCTACCCCATTCCATAACCAGCCCGGCTCCCCGTCACCCGCCCGCCTGTTCGTTTCCAGTCCATACTATCTTAGTCCATGGTTACGTCTTACTATATCTTACTACCTATATCTGCCCATATATCAAAGAAAAATAACAATATTTACGATAATAAGTAGGGACGTAGCAACTAGCAATATGTTAAAATATTTAAACGTAATTTCTGACGATATCTTATTGCGATAACTAATAAGTAGATGTGTAATATACTAATATGTTCACACATGTCTATCAATTTCTAAATTTAGCCCATAGATAGAATACTTTTTATGAGTGTTATGACCACAATAAAAAATCCTAGGTAACCAAAAAAAATAATATTTTACAAGGTGCGAAGAATGTTATAATGATAACAGGAAATTTTGAATTGTAAGGTATCTCTCCACTTATCTTGAGCCATTTCGACCACTGGTAGATACATAATATTTACAACACATATTTATTTCATCAATTAATATACGTGATACAATTTTCCAAATATTTTGATTCGTTTTGATTAGCTAAAAAATACTGACATTTTAAATTTAAATTTTTTTTTGATTTTCTTTCTATAATTGTCAATAAAATGTTATTTGTTTGGAAAATAAGCGTGACAATGAAATACAAGGCCCCTGATATATTGTTACAATAGCAGTTGAAAAATATTAAAAGTACATAGTCACACATTTTTTATAAGGATATAAAGTTCGAATTTTGACAAAATTTATCGAATTTAATGTTTAAAAATTATTTTGTAGTTAAATATTTAAAAAATGTTTAACTTTTATAGCTAAGGATTGACAATTCAAAATAAGGTTCCACATTTAATAAATTACTTTAGACACAATAATATCATCAAATATACTTAGTAATATCATAGGCTGGCTGTTTGTATTCGCTCAGAATCGTTTTTCGTATACTATATCATTGAATTCGAATTTTTCGTATATTCTATATCAGGGGTCTCCAAACTACGGCCCGCGGGCCGGATACGGCCCGCGAACAAGTTTTAACAGGCCCGTGGCCCGCGTAGGACGCATAGGTAAATATAGATAAAAAAATTATTCCAAAAATGTATTTATAGGTATTATATTATATTTATACCTATTTATTTTTATTTAAGTATATTGTAAAGTAAACAATATTCTATACAAAAATATAAAGTAAACATATTATTTATATAGGTACCTATATTATCATAAAGTTAAAAATTATATGGCATGTTAATAAACTTTTGGCCCGCTAAGAGCATTTGATTTTTTTGTGGCCCTTGAATAAAAAAGTTTGGAGACCCCTGTTCTATATCATAGAATTCAAATTTAACACCATCCATTATAGTGACCCATTTGTAACAGCTGAGTGACACCCACTTGCTCACTCCTTTAGGTTTTTACCTATTAAATAATTTGTACATTTTTGAGATTTAGACGAATCCTGTCAAAGTTTGAAGTTAAAAATTTAAAAATATCGTTATAATGTTTTAAATGTCCATGAGTACAACGTATTAACTTAAATGTTCTAGATTTTTGAATGATCTTAAACATTAAAAAAAAATTCTAAAAAAAACTAATTCTAAAATATAAAATAGTTTTGATGTATTGTAAATACATAAACTTTGAATATATCATTATGTTTAGCAAATGAGAATTTAAGAAAAATTGAATGTGTCAAATTTGTCTACGATATGATTTTTTTCTGATAATAACAAAAATGCATAAATGGTTTGAAGAAAACCGTTATTATCAGTTGTTTGGTTTTCCCTGCACTTTTTAAAACTATTGAGATAACTATTCAAAACTATTGAAAAACTATTCAAATTTTGGATAAACCAATTAGATTCACTTTCCCATCGAACAAGATACCGTTCAAGAAAATCGAAGAAGTGTTACTGACCCAAACATTGATGACAGACAAAAAAAAAATTTTAATTAACAAAAAAAAAGGTGGGAAAGCTTGTGTTGCTCTGCTGTACAGAAGGTTACAAGGGGATCACTGTAATGGATTGTATTACATTTGAATTCAATGAATAATATCATTGTATAAGAAAAACGATTCTGAACGAAGACGGTTTGTCAGTCTTTATATTCTATATTATTATTATATTTTAATATAGTCTGTTAGTTGAATTATATTATAAATTACAACAAAATAACTAAAATCGTTATTTTTATTTTCATTTTTATTTGTTTTTATGGTGATAAACAAAGTGTTAGAAATTAAAATCTCATTTTTAGTGGTTTTTTGTAATTTGTAGGTGGTTTTTCCCGTGGCATTAAATAACTATCGAGAAAATCAAAAAAATCGAAGAACCTTTTTTGGTATAAATTTTGTATACAGGATACAAAAAAAAAAAAAAAATAATAAACACCATTGTAAAACTGCTAGATCACTCACTCCTCACAAAATCTAAAACTCATTGTATAATCAATACATTTATCGCTACGTTCTGAATCTAAAAGTATTTTAGAATAAAAATACAAATAGGTAGGTTTAGGTTAGGTTAGGTTATAAAATAGTGTAATGTAATATTATATAATATTTTATAAAATATTTTTACCTTAAATATAAATCAAATGAACTGATTTTCATGTTTTACGTTAATTTTATATAACACATACAAGAATAAAATGTTTGAAAAAAAAAATTTTGATGTTTTAGGTATGTACATCTAATACGCATACCTAGCTCATAAGTCATAATATAATAATTATTAATAATGTATTATTTTTACGCTCCTACTCTTACATAATAATTCGACGAAATAAGATATTCTGCTTGTTTATTTTTAGTTATTTTATTTTTTTGCGCAGGTGTAGGACCTATAATTGGTTTTTTACCTACAATAGCGAAACAATTGGGGTACTCAATAACCACTTACGGTGTCGCTATGACTTTTATATCGATGATAAAAACGGTAATGTCACCTGTAGCTGGTATTATCGTCGACACATTCCGGGTGAAAAGAACGTCAAATTTCACGATGCCCTTATTGCTGATTGTGATTTCAATTGTCTTCATGTTTGTACCAAAAGTGCCTTTGGAGACAGGTGTGGAAATGAAATGCGAATCTGAAATTATTTTCATTGTTCATACCGATACCGTTCAACAAAGTACACACAACACATCGATGTTTAATGATGAGAACAATGATGAATTGATCACATGCAAGGTGAGACTAAACAATATTATAAAAAATATTAAAATGTGTATGGACTTGGAACCGTTTTGTTTTAACAATTATTGACTAATTATTGTAAATTTCTGCAGTGTGAATTCGTTTAAAATGTGTATCAGTGTTTCAAAATCAAAAATAATAAAATGGACAAAACGGTAAATCGTTGATTAATTAGGCCTTAAGAGGACTTCGCACACTTACGACATAGGACATTTTCGTTCGCATGTTTCAATAGGGCAGTAGTTCTCAACCAGGGTGACATGGACTTAGCTTAGGGGTGACGCAGAATTTTAACAAGAAAAGAAAAAGAATTAAAAAAATTAATTTTTTCGAAAACAATCATATTATTTCTTATAATAAATATACGTATTATACACCTATACCACCACTGTCATGTACATACCTTAAAGTTCGTATCTTTATAATAGTTTGTATTATTAATATTTAATCTTTTGATGTTAGGGTGACGGAGTGTTTGATTCTAGTAGCTAAAGGTGACATGAATCAAAAAAGGTTGAAAACTACTGCAATAGGGTATGGTGTCAGTTTTGATATTAGAGTGAATTGACCTATAGTCACACTTTTAGGTAACAACATTATCTGTGTTCTCTCGTTGGTTTTTACGATATTTTAATTTTTAAATGAGTTATGAACATTTTCAAATATTAATATTTTACATACTGATAACTCACTTAAAAATTATTGTATATATTATTCGTGACTGGGAGTCCGTAGAAATAACGCAATTAGTGTGAGATGCTATTGTAGTTTTGGCGTGCGTGTTATCAGCAAGAGACCCGGGAGAGTACAAAAATTGGCTAAACGAAGTGTATAGAAAAACTACGGTGATTGGGGTCCTAACCCCCTTAGCCCCCCTGGATCGGCCCCTGGAGAGGTTCTGCGAGTTGTATCCGCTACGGTACTGACATATAAGCAACTTTTAAATGTGATACACGACCAATCATCGTGATTTCATTCTACGTGACTATAATATAATAAATCATGATATTTATTAGTATTTACTTATTATGTTGGTACGACACGGGGACTGGTTATCGACCAATTATTGAATTCAAATTTCGAACTATTATTATTAAATACGAATCCACGCCATGCCACTGATAAGGCCCCTGGAGTTTTTCATTACTCGAATATTTCGGTGTCTATTTATTAAAGTATAATAATAATAATAATAATAATAATAATCAAATCATATTACCTGCTGGACGTCGATAAAGTAGACGTGCTATAGGCAGCTATAAAAACGTTAACGATAATGATAGAACACACTTGTTGCACGGTCAACTACGGTCAAATATGAACTATGACATAGATATGTCACTACAAAGAAGACTGAAATTAACTAAACTTCACTAAATTTCGGTCGATATTTAAAATTTTTAAACATGTAAACAAATTTAGTTCAATTTCTTCAGCTGACTTGTCAAAATAAGAAGTCATGTGACCATACAATAAATAAATCGAACAATCAATCAGAATTCAGTGATTATTGGATGAAAACCACCAATAATGATATCGAAAATATAAACGATCGTAGTCGGATTGATGTTACATTAAAATTGAAAGATATGGAACAAGTAATATTACTATTATCTTTTATTCAATTGGATTTGTTAGTATTTCATTAATTTGATCTCAGACGGAAAGTTCGTATGTTTTCCACTTGTTGTCCGTAAAAATAAACGGTACAGACATTCCTCTAACATGCCAATGCCGTTTGAAAACATTTTGCCACATCTCATGTTCTAATGAAGACATCATGCGTATAGCTACTGTGCCGACATACAGAGGAAACGTTCTTAATTTGTATCAATTTTGGATTTTTTTCATAACGGTGACTGCGTTGTGGTCTTGCATAGCTATAACGATGACCTTACAAGGCTCACTATGTCTCGATCTTTTAGGTAAAGTATGATACAACAATAAAAATGTCAACAATATTGCTGTAGTTAAAATACAATAACGACATCTTATTTTATTTTTAGAAGACAAATCTGAGGATATTGGAAAACAAATATGTTGGGCATCATTTGGTTGGGGCAGTTTTTCCATATTCATGGGATGGCTTGTGGATTGGTTCAGCATTAATAAAAAGGAAAAAGAATATTCACCAGTTTTTTACTCGTGTATTTTATTCTCAATTTGTAATTTATTTGTCATAAACAAACTTAAAGTAAGTTATTTCCTGACTCTATGCTATACATCATAATCTATATTTTTTAATACTCACTTGAGCTCAATAATTATTAAAAAAAACATTCTATTGTCCTGTAACTTATAGGTAATCGAAACGAAAAAAACCGAAGGAAAATGGAAGAGTATATGTGGACTGTTTACTAAACATTATGTGGTTTTATTTTATATATGGGTAATATCAATCACATTTCTCCATACAATTATTACACATTTTCTATTCTGGTGAGTTTATAATTGAAGTCATTTTTTGACTATTAATTATTATAATTATTTTAAGGGTATTTTTTTAATCATATTGAGTACCTATTTATATTATAATACTCTCATCAGTGTGTAAACAGACAAAATATCACGGTAGGTGAGTGTCAAGTGTCTTTGATTTAGGTAGGCACTGCAACCTACATAATGTAGAAAGAAGATATGAAAATAAAAATGTAATGTTTGTCTTCTGTCTCGTACAATACTAATAAGAATTAGTAATAATTAGTCAATTTGTATAGCTCGAATTTACGTTGTTTTTTTAAAAGTTAAATATTAAATACTCACACTGAATATTCATAATTAAGTTTCATAATAACATTTACATTATTTTCATTATTTTCACTAAATCATTAATAGATTGTAAAGAATATGATAAACAACACGGGTAAATCAAAACTTTGGCTTAATTTCGGTATGTCAGTTTTTAAGATAGACAAAAACGTTTTAAGCCAAAGTTGCTAAAAATGTTGAAAGCGTTGAAAATGTCCTAGATTCCCTAGAGCAATGTTTCTTAAACTGTGTTCCGGGTTCTGCAGTGATCACTTCAGGGTTCAGCGAAACTTAAGTGCTTTTTTACATCATTTTTATTTGATAGGTATCTGTGTTAAATTTTGGTGCGTTTCAAAAGATGAATATTCTCAATTGTCACAAAGGCCATGTTGGCACTTTTACCATTTGTAATACCACTTATATGTGTGAAACAGGGTTTGCCCACCTATGTAGGTACTTATAAACTAACAAAAACAAAATACCGCAACAGACTTGATGCCGAACCTAATATGAGAATACGACTTTCATCAATAAAACCCAATATTATATATAATACCCAATATATAACCCGGTATATGCGATAACGCCCTAGATAAAATATAGACATATGCGTGGTAAGACATATGAAAAAAAAGCCTCCTTGCAATATAATAATCGAGCACAATTACTGGCCGCAGGGCTCTTCTGAACTATTGTGGCGTCTATTATAATATTAAAATATTATATAGAATAAATTCCCAAGCATCATGTTTACTCCCATTTTTTCATTGTAATTATTTATAGTTGATTTACTCAAATGTTTGGAATTATTAGAGATATTAATACCGTAATTAAAAACACGCGTCTTACTTAAACAATTTAATAGGAGTGCCGTGGGATGACACCAATTTTTTTTTCAGATAAAAATCGATCATTTTTTACTATAAATTGTTAATCAGAAATATTTTTAATAATTTTGAACAATCTAAATCGACATTTTTTCAACACAAAGTTAAAAAACTAATGTCCGTATGCATTAATTATAGTCAATGTATGTGTCACATGACACATAGTTTAACATGTCTTATGTGACACAGAAATTTACTAATATGTGAGTTTCTTGGACATAACATCATCAATAGCTTTTTTAATGACCGAGAAGAATAATTTGATATGTTCAACTTCTTGTTTTTTTTGGTGATTTCCCATTTTTAGTCTAAATAAAAAAAAAATATTTACATATCATAGGTACCTAATTAAGTTATTTTTTTTTACACCACTTTTAAAATTTAAGATAAGAATATTTTAAAAAATAAAAACATTGATGTAGAGAATTTATTATGTATAATATAAATATAAATATAATTTATAATATATTATAAATTAGGACTGAACCTGTATTGACTATTGAATGATAACTTCTAACATTTTTCAAAGCACTAATACACAAGTATATATTTTTATATCAAGAAAAAAAAAATTATGAAATTAAAATTACCAAACTTGCGACACCAATTTCAGCTTGAGACGTTGTCCACTTGTCTCAAGTTACCATAAAAACTATTTTTTCTCCAGCATTTCACGATAACAACAAAAATTACATATAATTGATAGCAATGTTATATTGTATATACATAAATCAGATGTAGTTGCTGTGACTAATTGTGTCCACATTTACATTCAACTAATAGCAGTGTGTACATAAAGTTATATTTATTAACAAGCTATTCGGATGCAGCCTTTTATCCAGTGGTGTATTTAAGGGGGGCAATGGGGGAAATTGCTCCCGGCAGCACTTTTTGGAGGGCAACACATTTTCGTGGGAGTTATTTTTTTTTGAAGATGGATTTACAATGATTTAGGCAACAAAACGTTTTATTAGTACAAAGCCATTCTTAATAGCTTTTCTGTGCAATCAATGTCCACATCCAGTGGCGTAACCTGGGGGGGGGGTTTGGGTTGTTAAACACCCCCCCCCCCATTGACATTTCCTCATTAATAAAAATATTGTTTATAGGGTTTGGGACTGCTCACATTATTTTAGATAAGTTATAAATTTGTCTTATGAAATTTTTTAAATGTTTGATCAAACACAGTTTGAATTTGCATATTTTAGGAAAAGTGTATATTTGAGCGATTTTTCGCACATTTATGCATATTTTGCATTTTTCTAACTCAAATGTAGGTACATACAATTGTAGGGAAAAATCATATTTGGATAACATTGAAAAATATCTTTAAAAATATTATGTTTGGTTATAGGTACAATAGGCTCTAGTTTTGAGATTTGGGGAGGCCGAAGCCTAAAACCATACTATTATAAAATTGAATTAAAAAAATTTAGTAAATGATTGGGAGGGCTGTTAAAGTTGTTGGTGGAGCTTGGCTATACGGTTTTCCCTATTTTCGCATAATTATGGTATGATAGATTTTATAAGTCTCTTTGTGACAAGACTGTGTTAAAACTATAATAGATATCTATATTCTAGATTGTACGAAGAAATGAAAATCAGTGTTCGTTTATCACGGTGATCTCATATCACGTTATTCGTTATTATACATATTTATTAACCTAGTATTTTATGCCAGTATTTTTAAAAATCAAGTTGTTTTATTTCACAATAGTTTAAAAATGTCCAAAACATGCAATAGTGTACTCCGTCTATCACATTAATCAATATAGGTACCTAGGTACCTATATTAAAATCAGTAAACCCATGTATAAATTATTTATGTTTATATACTTACTTATTTTTTAGTTTTTTATTACCAAAATTGTAGTATGTTTTATGAATTTTTAGCAAAAATAATATAAAAATGTAGCTGTATATATTATTTAAGAATATTTTGACAACTTCGACTGCATCAGAGTTCGATAATATTTAGTGCAACAAGTCAAGTCCTGAACCCTAAATTTATTTATATACGAAAACTGTAAAAACTTGGTTTTAATCTAGACTTAAACACCCCCCCCCCCATTTCATAAACCTGGCTACGCCACTGTCTACATGTGATAATACGCGTTTGTCGTCGAATACCAAAACCTCTTTTGCTGTGCCCGAACTAAACATTTCTTATCGACTATGGTGTTAGTAACACTGTACTTTCAGTACAAAACGGCTGCACCTACATCAAAAATAGTAAATTGTACGAGAGAGTGTTTTTAATATTTAATAGCTTACAGACTACAGTAATTTGTAAGTTATCTTCAGCCACACATAAGTATAACAAATTGTATTCGAACATTTCTTGTAAGCTTAATGATATATTTTTTGAAAACTTAAATTTCCAGAAATAGTATTTTTATTTATAAAACCAATAAATATTTTGAGGTAAGGCCTTATTGCATTGATCATTTTATGAGCCAATTATTTAATATTTATATTCATATATTTATATTTATAAATACTAATGACAATAATATTATTATTATTATGGTATTTCATACATAACATTTTAGATGATATTAGAGCAGAGTTGATTAAAAACATGATTTTTTTAAAAAAATCAAAAAAATTATTCTTAATCGTTTCAAACATGTTTTTTTAAAATGATTTTTTCAGCTGTTTTAAACATGTTTAAAACATGATTTAGGTAATCGATTTTAAAACAAAATATGTAATTAATTAAAAAAAAAAATCATTTACTTAATAATTTAATATCATAATTTTTTTATAACTTGACGTGTAATTTAACCACGGCTATCGGTTTTACACTTAAAAATCGTTTTTGAATATTTTGATAATGATTGATGATAAAGAACTGATCTGTTATCTACATCGTGATAAAGAATACTGATTACTGTATTTACTATTTTCAATTTTGGTGGGTTTGCGCCACGGACTAAGATATGCAATTAACTATTAAGACAATTGTGATATTTAAATATTATGTTACCTATCAAGTTGATATTAATTTATATATTTTTTTTTTTTTTTTTTTTTATGTTGGAGTACAACTAATTACTAATTAGTAATTGTTATGTTATTTATTGGTATGTAATTTAAACAAATAAATAATTAATTAATAAATATATTACCTACAGAACTACAGAAGTAACATAATTTATTATATAGCCATTGAAGTGTTAGTAATTTAAATAAGTAAAATTATCATTATACATTTTATAAATTTTAAATTTGTTTATGAAATAAAAAATAATAATAAATAGGAGTTGCCAGTATGAACTTACAAATAATAAGTTATATGCATATAAATGATGATTTTCTGTTTTAAACTGTTTTTTTATTTTGTTTAAATCATTTGTTTTAAACGTTTTAAATAAAATCATGTTTGATCAATTTAGATGTTTAAAACATGTTTTAAACATCTCAACTCTGTATTAGAATTAGAGCGATGAAGGCAATTATTTTACTTTAATATGTGATGTTTTTTTTTTGTGTGTATATCTATATATACATGATAAATATTTAAAAAGAAAGAATACTTCGATTTTCCACTCCAGTATCTTTTTTAGCAGCAAAATCCTAAATACGCCACTACATTTACCTGTAGGAATTGTGTTTTTTCAAAATAAATCAACTAAAGTAAACAACTTAACAATTTACACTTTATTTTCACAAACAATAGTATTTAAATAGTATTCAACTGAAACTTAAGAGCTAGGACTCTGATGAAACAATATGTCTGATAGATAATGCCTGATTTTACGGTTTGGATACCTTTGATGCATTTGGGCGAACAAATTTCTTTTTC